AACCTTGTGGTTTAATAGTCTATTTACTGAATTTAGCTGTGACTGTTTTAAAAAACTACTGTCCCTGTGCTTGACAGACCCTTCTCTCCAGGAAGGCTAACAAATTAGACTGCACGGATATTCAAAATCTGCTGCAGTGTTGTGAGCTGCCCTAGCTTAATCCGGTAGTGAAGAACCACAGACATCCTCCAGCTGACTTAGCACTGGAGCAGAAGAAGAGTGCCTGGGCACTTGTTGGTTAAAGTGAGCAAGAGGAGCAGTAACAACTACTGCAGAAAATAATTTACTGCAAGGTTTCAGCCGCTTTTGCAGGGAACATCTGCCTCAGAAAGGACAGGAGCAGCATCAGGGTACACAGGTAACTAGTTTAGGAGACTGCCACACAGGGAGGAGACAGACTGTTATCAGTGTTACTGTGAGGTGAGTGTGAATGTGACAGTGCAGAGAGTTTTATTTTTCTTTATGGTAATACAACATGAAATGTGCAGCGATATACTGTGTCTGGAATTATATAGATGGTCAACACTACATGCACATCAGAATTACAGGACTTTTTTCTCAGATTCTCCCAATCTAAGGTTCCCATAGTAAAGGCAGTGAAATTACCATTTAAAATAAGATGTAGGAAAGTTGTGCATGATTTACTTATTCTGTCATAGGAAATAATTCATAATTCAGGAGCAATAGAGGAGCCACAGCAAGTTGCTATAAATTAGAAGAACTCTCTTCTCTCACGTTACATGTGGATTTTTTTTCAGTGTTGTGGCATAATAACTGAAGTACAAAAGTTTTAGGATATACAGTCAGTTAAAAGAATGTGATGTTTAAATATGGAACTTTCCAAAGAATTATAGCCTAATTAAAACACTGATTTGACAAAACAGCAATAACTTTAGTATCATCCCCACAGCGGATGTCATATCTGAATTCACAATGTGCTCCTTTTCCTGCGGACTTTCAAAATCATGCTCTTATGAAAATAATAAATCTCTTATGAGGGAATAAATACTATTTGGAAGACAGCTAAGGTGATTGCTCCAGTAAAAAAATTGACAAAATTTTGCAGAAAATGGAGGAAATGCTTTTGACAGTTCATTCTGTCCCACAGAGTAGGAACTGGATCTCTGATACCCTAGTAAGAAGAGGAATGCCTGAAACAGAAGATTAAAGGAAGGTAATTTATTTGGTATATCTTCTGTCCCTGTGCAGTAGAACTCTTCAATGACTCCTGTTTCTGGTGGAAGAAAAATAGGGAGCTGTACAGGAAGACTCAGGAGCACCTCTGATTTTCCAGGGCTGGGTGTGCACCTGCCTCATGCTCAGGGAGAGACCAGATGCCTCTATCACCCCAAAATAACGGTGGTCATGCAGGCCCATGGCACACTCCAGTATCTTTTGGGACAGAACCATGACACACATAGCAAGGTCGTTAGCCTGGACAGCTGAGGAGACATCAGGGCTCAGGTGCTGTATTGATATTAGCACACAGTGCATACACATAGGAATGATCTGCAGAGTGAACAGCTGATGCTAAGGACCTGATGTTCACACTATATGGCTTCTAGAAATGTTTTCCATTTCAGACTGGCCCTAGTTTGAGCCTTTGAACTGAATTCTCGCAAACAGCTGGGTGTGCATGTTCTGGTCTAGTTTCAAACTAAAAGTCATGCACTCTGAGCGCACTCAGTGATGTGAAGAGTGAGAAATGGAGACAATTGGGAAATCTGCTTCAAAAGAGCACTCCTGGTCCTATGCTAGTGCAGAAGCCCCCAGCTTTGGCTAACCTGCCTGCCAGGTGCTCTGCAAAGGCACAGCAGAAAAACTCCACTGAACTGGAACAATCTGTGTCCTGTTGCTTCTGAGATGCCTAACTGGTGCGAAGATGCTCCAAGACCTAGAAACCAAAGATATTTTTCTTTGGTATGTTGCCAGTGGTATTTCCTATTGGATACCAAATGTATACACTCAGTGCACATTAGTAAGGCTTTATTAATTAGTGCTAGTAAAGATCTTGCCTGTAATCACAAGCTACGCGAAGTCCAACACTGTAATAAAAAGAATCAGACCTATCTCTCTTACATCTGCATATCAGTCAGTACCTTATTTGAGCACTTGATTTCCTGTATTTGAAGACTTAAGACAGGGCTAGACTAGAAAAAAATAGGGTAAGAAACCCTTAGCATCCTGAGCATACTGAATACTGGGACCAATGACCTACAATACCAAAGTTGTTATTAAAAATGAGGAAGGAACTTGAACTTGACAGCTGAACAAACCTCTTATCTTCACCTGCAGAGCAATTGCTAAGAAGTGCTTTTTCAAAATGTACAGATATTTTTCTGTATACACTGCAGCGTGGCTTCATCTGGTTTTGTCACTGCCATAGATTGAACAATACAGGGTTTATTTCATGTTATGATGGTAGCTACTTGAGTTTCTCCATGAAGTAAGTACGATTATGTCTCATCATGAAGTATGAGAATTTATGTCTTCTAAGGTAACATCTCTTCAACCAGCCTGTTTATCAGAATTCCTGAAGTTTGAATCCTCCATACACTAAAATTTCAACACTATTTATTTTTACTTTTACTTGTTCAGCAGAAACTATCATTGTTATTCTATAAAATAAAAAAATCCAAACCCCCTAGATAATACACTCCTCAGGACCAACACAAAATTAAGAAATAATAAAAAAAAGTAGTGGAACATTGCTGCACATTTTTAGTTGTTAGCCCTATAAGGAATTTGTTTATAAAGTGCTGTCTGCATAGAGCATTACTTAGTAAAGCAATCGTCATCACAACTGCAAAGCTCTCATATTGAGAGACTGGCAAGGAATTATTTGTGAAATAGTCAGTGAAGTCATCATGGCAGCATTTTAAAACTAAAATGGTGTCTTACATTAAAAGGAATTATACCAAAATTTACATTCGCAATTTTAATTAAAGATGGAATTATCCTAAAACCAAATACCAGTTGTTTTCAATTGAGCACTTAATGCTAAACTGGAGTAGACCATCCACTACAAAATGTGGTAATTAGAGAAAATGCACACATTTGAAAATTCAGAAAACGTGGCAGTTAAGCATATATTCTGTAGCTCCATATACTCAGACAACCCCCTCAGATAAACAACAGTGACTTTGGGATGAAGGGATTTCACACATGGGTTTCCAGAGCACAAAACTAGCAAATTTACTAATCTACTAAAATAAGTGAACCAGCACTAGCACACTCACATAGAAATGTGTCTGATTTCAGAAAGTTTTTTAAAAAAATCTTAATTTGCAATATTTAAATGTTAAAATTGTTCCAGAACTTTGTATTCAAATACCAGCTCAGAAAATAGCTTAAGCAAAAATGCAAGTTCACAGTTATCAACTGTGTATTTTAAGTCAAGTCTAGCAAAGCAAACCCGAGCATTTTGACTTTGTTTCAGCTGCTGAATGGAACAAAATCGTAGCTTCATGCAGAGTACAAATTTAGTCATATTCCCACTCGTTGCAAGCCTTAGCTTCTTAGTCCATTCAAAACCCCTGCTGGGAAAACAAGTAATATTCTTCTAGTTTTAAAAATGAGGGATTGAAGGAACAGGAACATTAGTTTAAATGTCTTGCCCAAACACATGGAGATTCAGTGTAGGGGAGTCTAGTTAAAAGTTAAGCAGTGGGCAATTTTTACTGCTGAGCTCAGACTATTGCCCAAAACCTCAGCAATACATGTGCAAGGAGAGGTGGAGAGGGTATCTGTAGACAGGAGGAAGGGTCTTTCACTGCAGGTATTAAAAAAGTACATACAAAAAGGAAACGAAACAAAGGGTAACTGAACCACACACATTCACATGGATAAGTTGTTCCTATTACTTGGTTAGCACTGAAAATGTGCTTGACTGCACATTGTATTATCCAGATGTATTGTGAGTACTGATTATACAAAAAAATGTTATTTCTGATTATGCAATGCAGTCATGTTGACAAAGTCTCAGTAATGTCTCGTGATTTCTGTACAAAGGAAACTGCAACTTTGCATTGCAGTGCCATTTGCTTCACAGCTGCATGAATAAAATTATTTCTTTCAAGCAGCAATCTCTGTCTAACCCCTTACTGTAACTTTTACTTGCAGCATCATTTCCAGCAGCTCTCATTTTCACAATACTTTGGAAGTTACCATATAAACTTATGATACTTCATTAGTAGTAATAAATTAAGCATGAGAACTTTGCTGAGTATACTCGGGTCAGTCTTTAAGCTGACAATAGTCTGCTTTGCTCTGTTACCGCAGTGAAAATGTCAGAGTCAGATTCACTGTGCCATCTGATGGCAAAAGGCACTGAAAAAATACCCAGACAGGAAAAGATGGACTAGATTCTAGTTATCGAAACACATTACCAATGTCAAAAAACAGGCCTAGAAAATGGGCTGTACACACTGGAGCAACACTTGCTTTTCCTCTCTTGCCCTTGGTTCCCATGAAGTGGAACTATTCCAGTCCAGACACAGACTTGGTGGGGAGCTGTGGCGTACAGCGCTCCCTCTGCTTGTACCGTTTTATCTCTCAGGGAAATGGAGGTTCCCGTGGTGGTACAGCACCCTGTCCTTCCACTTTGATAAAGTCTATTTTTCAAAATCCTACAAAACTTGTTGGTTGAAGTGATGTGTATGACAGTGGCAGATGCACAGTATTGTTGGCACATTCAAGCAGACTGAAACTTAACACTGTGAAATATATTCAGGCACTAATCGGAAACTTCAGTGCTGCTGTTAAAGCTGATCTGTGACTGTGATTAATTGGCTTCATAATTTTGATCAGAATTGATCTGTCCAATTTTGTGGTCCTACTTGAATAAGTCAAACCTCTCCCTAAAGTTACACAAATCCATTTAGTTTGGTCTTTGTAAAAGCAGAGAAAGAAAGAAAAGTATGTGGAAGTAATTTCTGAGTTGTCAGAGACAGTTTTTTCTTTTGATTTCACACTTTTGCTGAAGATAGAAGAGACCTTACCGTAGCTGTCATAAGCCTCTTCGCTTGTTCCGTGACCGTAGTCATAATATTCAGGCACACTGTAACAGATTCAGATAGCCATGTCAGTATTATCACAGGTAACCAACTCAAAACAAAAACAGAGCACAGAAAATGGAATGTATTTGAATACTTTTACACGATAGCATAGTCCAGCTGGTTTCCAGGGTTATGAGCATTTAAAAAATATGAAGGAAAATGTATCAGTGGCAATAACACCAGAGTTCTTCTCTACTGAGCATAAACCAAAATTGGTCCTAAATACGTAAACCTAGGAGATGTGACAAACACTGACAGAAATTTTATTTGCAAAAATAACATCTGAAAAAGACCATCCATTCTAATCTTCACTCTTGTTAAACTGCCAAAAGAGATGTTAATCTCATTTATCTGTAATTCCAAACTTATGCAGAATTAAACCCAGCATAGTTTGTTTTCCCCCAAAGCTGACTGTATTGTGTTGTGTGGCACCTGTAAACTACTTACCTTTACTGAAAACACCGACAGGTTTTCAGCTTTGCTCCTGAAGAAGAAAGTCTGTTCCCACTGCTTGTAGAGAAAAACCTGATTCTCCACAGCTTTTGTCCTTATGCAGTTATTGGACACCCAAGTTTTCTTCCATAAGCAATAAAATGTATATTGAAAGTAGTGGGGTTCAAGGAGGGGAGAATCAGGCTTACAGTCTCAAAACCACTTTTTCACTGCTTTTTGTTAATTAACAACAATTATATATGGTCATATTAACTTGTTATCAAAATATTTGAGATCATAGTTACACCCCAAATATCAGCAATCCCCGGCTATTACCTGGAGTGGATACCCAGAAAATTTGACCTCTAAGACATAGTGAAATGGAACTATTCATGGTTTTGCTTGACTGTTATTATTATTTACAGTTTGCACTGTGTATTTGGTACCTGGTACCTGTTATCAGGTGCTAGGCAGACATAATAAGAATCAGTCTCTGCCCACAAAAAGTTATAAACTTGATGAATTCTATTATATTGCATTTCTTCCATCTGCAGTGAACCAAACAGAAAATGTAACACTTTCCTCATTAATTTTTTGTTGTTGTCACTTTTGCTTCTTTTTCTTTGGACACTGTGTGAGATAGACTCTTGCAAAATGAACAGAAGCATGCAAACTCAGTATTGCACTATTTATAACATTACTGCTCAGGCAATTTTCCATATTGGATTATTGTTTTAAAAATATTAGTTCACACTTGAAAGGGAAGCTTAGTTGACAGTGAAGTGTAAGTAAAACTATTTTACAAATGGAACAGAGATCAACAAGCAATCTGTAACAATTATTTTCTGAAACTAATTTTGAATTCTTTGCTCACAAATTGTCTGTAATCAGATTTTGAATTTCTCGAATTTAATAGCTATTCATAACTATTCTTGGAATAATTTCTAAGAATAATTCATGTGCTGTATCTCCCTTGAGAGCACTGATTGCATGTATCTGATAACTGACAGCCAAGATGTTTTGATTTGGGAAATGTCATCCCCTGACTGGCTAGGCACAGCTCTCAGTCAGTTTTCAGCTACAAATATCTGTGGGTTTTTTTTGAACTGAAAATTGTTGTGCATTAATTTAGAAATTTAGCCAGCAGTCATTCATGTGAGTGGATAGTACACTGACATAAATATCTCAGATGAAATTCATTTGGTAAAGCAGTTATAGAAGGTGGACATACAAGTGACATGAATGAAAATGAAGTTAATATGTCTAAAGACTTTTGCCAATGCCATCCGAGCTCTATGATACAATTACTGCAGAGCAGTACCTTCTGGGATAATGAGAGCCATCCATCTGCTTGAAAATTTATTATCTAAATATATACACCCTCCTATTGAAGTGGTGCAAAAACCAACCAAGAGTACATCTTTTATTTGTTGAACATACTAAGCATTCTGTACTAGTTCACAATGATTCTAGCAGCCAGTTAAATAAACTTACAGGATTATGTAAGGTGAACTAGAGCACTGGCAGCATCAGGGTTAAATCATGTATCTGGTCATGGCTACGGAGCTCAGGGTTTAGACCTAAGAGATGACTCGAAGTGTTCAGAACAGACAGATGACACACCACCCAGATCTGGCAGGCGGCAGTATGAAAAATCTTGTGTAATACAATTTAAGCAGCAGCATTTTGGCATACTGCCTTCTCTCCTGGGTAGAGGAGGGTGTTGGACTAGTGAGTGGAGTCACAGCAGAAGAAAACCCAGAACTCTCATCTCCTGTCAGTGCAGAAGATGCTAGTATTTCTTCCTGATACATTTTACAAAACCAAGTGGCTGCATCCAAAGGTCAGCCTTAAAAGGAGTGCATTTGGGACCCAACCCAAAGGCCAAAAAGTTATCAACAGCAGCCCTGCTTTCAGTGGTCACTGAGTAGGGCCTTGAGCTATTCCCATCGACATAACATCCAGCAAAATGCAAGACCTGCAAGAGCACATAAAAATTCATTGCTACGTTATTGTTGTTGCATGTTTTTATTAGAGAAAAAATACATAATCATACAGAAAATAAGGATGTGAGATAAAAATCCTACACAGTGAACATTCAGAACTGAAATACATGATAAACAGAATACAAAGTTTATACACAGACCGCCAAAATAAGAACCAAGCTGTATTGCAACTGTAGAAAGGAAGTGATTTGTTATATACTGCATATTTGATGTTTGTGAGCACAATACTTAACACGTTTCTGAAAATGCATAATTCACAGCACAATACATAATGGTGATCAAGTTCTCCAACTTTATTTCCCTGAATAATTTTTTCATAGATTTGAGCCAAAATGGTATTTTAAATTCCTTGCTAACTCATATTAGATAGTGTTCTGAACAATACCTAAGTGAAGCAAATTTATTTTTTAGCGTGAAACGCCTGATTTAAAAACACTTTTTGTGAGTTAGACTGCTTATCCATTAGTCTGCTCTATTTTAAACCTTTCTGAATATTCACTACCATCTACTACATGCATTTATTTGTAAACATTTTCCTCTGCTTTTTTTATTAAAGGGAACAATGTATGATGATAAAAATGGATGATAGAATATGGTTTTACAAACATCAGGTCTTTTTTTTTTAAATTATTGAACTACGGAAGATGCAGTTCATTCTCATTATGCCCAACTGTGGAAGGAAACAATCAGCACATGAAATCAGCATAAATACAACTTGTTTATATAATTTTAAAGTTCTCAGACTGTTCCTGGAAAATAACAGTGATCATGAGCTCTAGAAACCTCAGGCTCTCTTGGCAGTGCTAATTGGAAACAAGACACCATTATCTGTCATTAGCATTCATTACTTTCAAGCAACATGAAGTGTAATTTACCTAAGTACATGCACCCACCTGAAAGCAGGATGCAATACATTTTATAAAGCAGATAAGATTAACTCATTAACAACTTCTCAAGCTTACTACTAAGTTTTCAAAGCTTTGCACTATACTTCAATACCAGACTTCTGAAACACAGAGGTCTTGACATGCCGTGGCTTAGACTTAAGCAAACTTCTACATGTACCACTTGTGGAAGAATCAATATACATGGGACTATAAATCTTACAACTCATTTGATTATTTTTATATCTCAAATGGCTTGCAATATGAGGACCTCTGATGTAATTTTTCTTTATCTAGATGAAACTTTTGCAACAAAGGTGTATGATTATGTGCTTATTCCTATTCTGTGGGCAAGAGGATTAATAACACATTTACTGTTAATCTTCATAATCATAACCTACTTATGCTTACTTTTAACTTAACGGTTGTTTTGGTTATTGCTTTTGAACCCGTTACTTTTAAAGATTTGGGATCAAAGTTTCTATAAACTTGTGATGTCTTCTTTTCATGCAGACAAAGCCAGATCAGTTCCAAAAAAAAAGAACACAAAAGATGTTCATTTTTTGAGAGAGAAGGGGCCCCTGAGGTGCTTTCCAGCCTGAATTTGCTGGTGCTCCTATGATATGAGAAGGCCTCAAATACACAGACTCTGTATCTAACAGCAACCCAAAAAGCCAAAAGAGGCTTTTAACCTCTCATTAACTGTGACTTTTTCAAATTGACATTAGCTAAGCAAAACCGAATTCCAGTTTGACTCTGTCAACACCCATGGGAAACCACACAGATTGTTATTCAAAAGGCTGTGGAGAACGGTGCTTTGAGGTGGTTTAAGCAGGAGAACCACAAACAAGAGAGTTAAGATTGAAGCCACAAAACCCTGACTCTTGTCTCAGCAGGCCAGCTGGGGGAAGGGTGATGTTCACCACTCAGAGACCAATGGCATTAGGTACAGGAAACCACGACACTGATTAATAGGCTGCACTGGCTTTTGACCAATCTCTTCCTGCACCTGCAGGAAGCTGCTGGCGAGAGACCCCGAGTAGCAACATTACTGTCTGCTACCCTGGCTGCTCTTACAGCTTCCGTAATATAAGGCAGCAGAACCTTGCAAGAACTGAAGAACTTGCATACTTGTTTCCTCAAGGTTTGTTCCCCTCTCTTCTCTCTTTTTGTTCTTTGCTTTTTACTTGCTGAAAGATGCATTTAACTTTTTATTCACTGATTGTGCAGCACAAAATGTGGTCCCAGACATACAACGGGCCCAGTAAGGCCAAAACTGAAAAGTACAAGAAAGGGTTCATCTGCTTTAAATACTGCTAACACATGATTCTGTATAGGTGCAGTGTGCTTTGTAGTCTATCCTGAAAGATCCTAAGGAACTGAAAGCCTTTGATTAAGACCTGTTCAGCTAGAACTTTAACAGATATTTCTTTTCCTGTACCTTATCTTTTCTTTCTTAATGGTTGTATTTTTTAACTGGGAGAATACATTCTAGAATCTTACAGGAATCTCTTATTAGGAAATGATTAGAGAAGAGATGGTCAATTTAGAAAAAAGGCATTTGATCAACTTCAGAGTTATAACACAGCCACGAGATAATAATCAGGCTTCTTTTGTGAAGTACTTGAATTGGTCCAAACTAGAGATTCAGCTGACGCCAGTGAAGATTCATAATTCAGA